TGTCCTTCATCAACTTCTGGTACAGCCTTTCTCTATTCCCCCAGCTACCTAAAGCTGGTTCCTCATGCGTTGGGACTCTGTCCTTATGACTGTTTGTATAGTCCTTCTCTGGATTAGCCACGCTGAGCCAAGGCAGAGTCTCATTGACCCTTGTGGATTTGTTAATTCTCTATAAGGGCTCACAAAATTCATGGAGACTATTACCTATACTTAGGATCCCTGGTGGTGCAGTGGTTAAGCGCTTGGCTCCTAACTGAAAGGTCAGTATTTTAAACCCACCAGCTTGCTCAGAGCGAGAAAAGACCTGGCAATCTGCTTTCATAAAGATTACAGCAGGTCTATTCTGTCCTAGAGGGCCACTATGAGTCGGAATTGACTTGACAGCAACAGATTTGGTTTTATTACCTATACTTACTGTTACCCATTTATTATAACTTTTAGGGGACCCTAGAGGCTGAAGACACCTAATTAATTAGTACTCCATCAGTTATCAGGCCACTTCTAGTCACCTCCCCCACTATGTCACTCACTTCCTCTAAGTTGTTTTGCAGACCCTCTGGAGAGCACTGGACGGGTCCAGATCTAACCGGCTTGTAATGGTCAGACACGTGCAGAACCCACAAAGTTGACTGACAGATGACTCTGGGTCAATGCACATGCTCAATAACACAGGATAACTCGTGTCAAGGAACCAAAAGACTCATGTTAAGGAACCAAAATCACTGGATATACATCATCGGCAGTAGCCAAGCCCATTTCAAAAGTGAAGATTCCATAGGCCACTTCTGGGCCAAGTCTTAGCCTCGCCTCATAATAAATAATCAATAGAAACTATGAATAGTGATTTAGGAAATAATATTGGAGTTATTATTCCCTGTCCTTGAGCATAGAGAATGTGACCCAGCTGGAGCTGAGCTCCCAAGGGCTCACAAGGACTCACAAGGACACATCAACTGGGCCCTGAGGTATAAAGGCAATAGCTAAGATAATCTTGGAAAACATCTTTTAGGGAAACTCTCACATAAAGCCCATCAAAGAGAACACAAAAGACTTTCCACTCTTATCTTTTTCTATTAGCATTTAGTGAATAGAAATTTGTTGGACCAATGAAGACCCTCCTGACTGTCTCCTTACTGAAACCTGTACCAGTGATTGTTAAGAAAGGCAATTCAAAATGTAGGATCACAATTTCTAGCCAATCTGTGATAAGGTGAAGCTTTCAATGGTTTTGCCTATTTGTAATGTTAATAGATACTGATGACTCTGTATTGGTCCTTGGCTATGGCAGCATAGTTGTCCTTTTTGAAGGTATGCTGAATAAAACTTTCTTTTTGCTTTACTAAACTTGTGATGTTTTCTCCCTACAACAATAGTTAAAACTTTCTGATTCTGCCCACTGCCTTCCTTCACCCCTATATGAATATGTATAAGAATAAATGATTGCTCACTCAAATCAAGGAACTCAATCTGAGTTCGATACCTCTGAGTTCCCACTTGCTAGCCTGAGAAATAAACTCTTTCTTCCTCTCAAAAACAGAGTCTGAGAGATTGGCTTCTTGCACACTGGGCGGGGACCCATTGGTCCGTTTTCATAAGCAGAAAGAATACAAGCAAAGAGACGTATCAGGCAAGGTCTGGGAGAGTTCCCAGCATGGGGCCTCTATTCACCCATTCAGGGATGCCCTCACCAATCCAGGAGGATACATACACATGCATCAATGAATATGTGTGATTGACTCCATCATGCCCCCCTCCCTTCTTGAAGGTAGTCCGCCAGGTGTGGGGCCTGTGCAGCCCCTACTTGCCTAGCTATTTTGGAAAACAAAGAGCACCTTAATTGCTTGGGCTATTTTCAGAAACCAGAGAGAAAGGCTAAACCAAGCTCTTTGTCCCACACAAGCACAGTGCGTTGGAGCACAATCTTTAAAGTAACAAACAAACAAAATCCAGGTTTCTGGTTCTTCACCTTCTAGCTGAGTGGCCTTGAGCCATTTAATTTTTTTTTTTTTTCTGAGCCTCAGTTTTCTCAGTTATATGGGGATTATAGAAGTACCTACCTCACAAGTTTGTTGTTGGAATTCACTGAGATAATGATACAAATCACTTCGCAGCATCTAGTGCGTAGAAAGAGCACTCTAAAACTGAGGTAGTTGACATAACTAAAATGGCTGACAGGTCTGAATCGGATTCCATTTTGTCCTAGGCCCTTGCTTGCGCTTTTTAGAGTCACCCATGACCACCACATTCTTGATCAGAATAACTTGTTCTGCAACATTCTGAGACGGCCCACTCAGATTGTTGAAGGAAACAACTCTGGAACACAGGAAACTGTGGCTAAGGTTTGAGTAGCCCAGCCAATAGAAATTCTTGATAAATGAGTCTTACAGAGCATGTTTAATGTCAACCAATCAAATGTACCCACGTACTCTTTCTCTACCCTGTACAAAGTTCTGACGAAAGACATGCGCTTATGCTCCCTCTTCGGAATGCCGTTTTGAACTTTCATTTTGGCGCTTCCAAATATGCAAATCTTTGAATCTGAATAGAACTCTTATTTTACAGAAACGCTGTTTCATTTTTAACAATAGTTAAGTGTCAATAAATATAAGTATTGTTATTATTATTTATTAAACAGACAGGGTCCTGGTCAATTAATAATAAGACATATGAGTTAGTTCTGGCTGCATATATGACCTTGGGTTTCAGTTTAGATTCGTTTTTATAGTACAGTAGGAGAGAGAAGATAGGAATGGATTATCTATCTCTTAAGATTCCCTTTATTTTCATATGCGAATACTTTTTAATGTCTCAAATGTTCTAAGATTCCATTTATTAGTTGAAGAGTCTGTGAGTGCTTGTTTCAAGATTCTATCAGCTTAAAATTCTATAACTCTGAGATCCTCTTTCGGGGATCCCAAAATCCTATGACTCATTCAAAATTCTATTGAAACATTCCATTTGCACAAGCTATTCTGTGCAGAGTGAAAGCTCTTCTTCAGAGCTTTCCCTGACTAGCTCCTACCATTTTTGTAAGCGAGTTTCTCCTTAAATAGCACTTCCTTCGTAATCTCTCCTCCAATGCAGTTTATCCACTCCTCCTCATTGACTCTCCTAGAATCCTGTTCTTTCAGACCAATACAGGAATCCCTATATTATTATATAAATATAATCATATATTTAATTGTGTGCCTTTGGTTAATGTCTTCTTCATGTCTCCAGAGCTTGGCATGGGCGTGGTAAAGTAGATACTCAATAAATATTCATCAAATGAATAAATAAATTCTACAATTCAAAGATTCTGTGAGTGTGTATTCCAAGGTCTATTATCCACACCCTGCCCCACCCGAGGGTTGACACCTGGGAAGGGTGTCATGATTTTTCTGGACCATTTGTGCCCGGCTTCTTCAGCCCCACCCCTCTATTATTTACCTCTTCGGGAGTCCTAGGATTAGAAGGGAAGGCTGAGCTGTTGGTGTTCACTGCCTTCAAATCAGCTCTGACTCTTGGAAAGCTTATGTATACCAGAATGAAACATTGCCCGTTCTGCGCCATTGGTATTTTTTAGTTCATTGTTGTGGTTATTATGTCAGTCCATCTCACTGAGGGCTTCCCTCGTTTTCACTGACCCTCAACTTTACGAAACATGATGTCCTTTCCTGGCAGCTGGTCTTTCCTGATGACATGTTCAAAGTAAGCAAGCCAAAGTCTTGTTTTCCTTGCTTCCGAGGAGAATTCTGGTTGTATTTCTTCTAAAACTGATTTGTTTTTTCTTCTGGCATTCAATGGTATATTAAACATTCTTCACCAACACCACAATTCAGATGGATCAATTCTTCTTCTGTCTTCCTTTTTCACTGTCCAGGTTTTGCACGCATATGAGGTGTTAAAACAAAATCATATTAAACCAATAATAGAAATTGACTGAAGTTTATTTAATATACGATTTGCAAATTGGGGTACATTTCAGCTAGGGAGTCAAAAATATTCCAAGTATGAGAGAAACGTCAAAGATTCTTATATCCCATCTTATCGACATTGCCATGGAAGAAGGGACAGAACAAAACTGATAAAACAATTTGGGGTCGGGGCCTGGAAGGATTTCATACAATATTATCTTGAAGAACAATTAAAACAATTGCTGATTTACCCTAAAACATAGCTATAGTCTGACTTTTGGAGCCTCTGTTTCTCGGAATTGACTGCACATAGATAATTCTTCAGAAGAGCATAATATTTAAGGCAAAATGGTCTTCACCACTTTATCTAGACCATTGTTTCACTTAAAGATGACTTTTAGAAACTAGTTTCTATAAGGCTCAAGGTTCAAAAGGACATCTAAGGGCAATGACCTGGGTGGATTACCTCAGCTCCATGGACCCCAGAAATCTAGATTCCAGGAGAATGAAAACTGTTTCTCAGAGGCGATTGAAAAGACCATGGCTTGGGTCAGGTGCACCTTAGTCATTAAAGTGATATCTTGCTTTTTAAAACTTTGAAGAGATCTTTTGCAGCAGATTTGCCTGATGCAATACTGTACATCATTTGATTTCTTGACTGCTGCTTCCATGGACATTGATTGTTGATCCAAGTAGAATGAAATAGTTGACAACTTCAAATTCTTCTCCAAGAAGAAGAAGGCTGAGTTATGTCTCTGCTATTGAAAATAGCCTGGAACAGCTCACTCATACATTCATTCATTCTGCTATTCATTCAGCAAATATTTGTCTAGTGCCCACAAAGCACCAGGCATTGTGCTAAGACACTGGGGATAAAGGGGGGAGTAAAGCAGACCTGCACCCAGCTTTCAGAGAGCTCACACCCTAGGTAGGCAGAGATGGACCTTCATGACATAATCACACAAATTCTCACAGAATTACAAACTGTGATAGGTGCAGTGAAGGCGAGGGGCAGAGTGCTCTGAGAGTGTTTAGCATCCTGCAGTCTAGACTCAGGGCATTGGGCTAGAAAGCATCATGGGGCATTCTCCAGGGACTTCGGCTGGGCCCATATACCATTATCTGGGACACATGTATACTCTTCTTGTGAAATCCCTCTACTAGGGAACCATCAGCTAGAACTTGGGCTCAGAGTGGTGACCAGCCAAGCTCCCAGCACCCTCCCTTGGGAGTGCTGAGCCTATGAGGCTGGAAGATAAACTCTTACCTCTCAGAGTCCTTTCCCTCCTTGTGGGACTCAACCACTGAAAAGAGAATGTTAAAGCCCTAGATGGCAAGAGGCCTAGGCGGCCAACACCTTCCTCAAACAGGTGGGGAACTGGGGCCCAGAAAGAAGAGGCTGCTCAAGGTCACACAGCAAGCAGCAAAGCCAGAACTGGAACCCAGCTCCCCATGATCCTTAGTTCTCAACTGCTTTGAACTCCACCACAAGACCTCCTTCATTCTATGAATGACAACTGATTTTACATAGCAGGAATCTTGCTTCAACAAGAACCCCTCAGGTTTTCTAGCGGCTGCAAGCAACGGTTAGGATACAGACAAAACCCTGTATTAAGGAGCAAGCGGTTTATGGCTATATTTGGAGGCATTTGCACTGTGGTGTTTATTCAGTCAGGCCACAAACATACATGAGTGAAAATACATTCATTACAAGTCTGTGTTGAATACTATGTTTTCATTCAATAAATTTTCAAGGAAAATGTAGTGGTTATGGCTGTGAAAGAAAAAAAATAATAACAGACATCTTACTTTGATTTTAAGAGATTTTTAAAACCAAAAATTAATCATAAAAAAGCCTGACCCAAACTGCAAAAATATTGACTTTTTTTTTTTTTTAACCAGAAACTGTTCTGCAGAATTGCAAATTTGTCTTTTCTGGCTAGAAAATGACAGTCAATAACAAACCCATTACTTGCGATTTAATGAAAAAGACTGTGTTTCCTTAATTTTAATACCAAGAGGTCAAATGGATAAAGGGCCAAATTTCAGGAGTTAGTTTTTAATGTTAATTAAGTAACCAGTAAGTACTTAGTCACTATGGAAACTTGTATTCTTTAAGGAAAAAAAAAACAAACTTAAACTTCCATGAAATCTCCAATCCTGGGGAGTGCTTTTTCCCCCCCTTTATTTTCCTTCCTGAAGGGAGACTCAAGCTCCTCTAATTTGCAAATTGTTTATTAAATCATGAAACAGCCGAATAGTATATTATTGATTTGAACTAGTTCAAAGGTTTTTTTTTTTGTTTATTGTTGTAGTTTAAGTGAAAGTTTACATTTCAAGTTAGTTTCTCATACAAAAATTTATACATACATTGTTATGCGACCCTAATTGCTCTCCCCATACTGTGACAGCATACTCTTGCTTTCCACCTCTGATTTCCCATGTCCATTCAACCAGCTCCTAACCCTCTCTGCCTTCCCATCTCACCTCCGGACAGAAGCTGCCCGTTTAGTCTCATGTATCTACTTCAGCTAAGAAGCACACTCTTTATGAGTATCATTTTATGTTCTATGGTCCAGTCCAATCTTCGTCTGAAGAGTTGGCCTCGGGAATTGTTTTAGTTCTGGGTTGACAGAGAGTCCAGGAGCCATGCTTTCTGGGGTTCTCCAGTCTCAGTCAGACCATTAAGTCTGGTCTTTTTACTAGAATTTGAGTTCTGCACCCGACCTTTCTCCTACTCCATCAGGGACTCTCTGTTGTGTTCCCATTCAGGGCGTTCATTGGTGGTAGCTGGGCACCATCTAGTTCTTCTGGTCTCAGGCTGATGGAGTCTCTGGTTTATGTCGCCCTTTCTGTCTCTTGGGCTAATACTTTCCTTGTGTCTATGGTGTTCTTCATTCTCCTTTTCTCCAGGTGGTTGGGACCAATTGATGCATCTTAGATGGCCGCTCGCTAGCTTTTAAGACCCCAGATGCCACTCACCAAAATACGACGCAGAACGTTTTCTTAATAAACTTTGTTATTCCAATTGACCTAGATGTCCCCTGAAAGCATGGTCCCCAGATCCCCACCCCTGCTATTCTGTCCCTCAAAGTGTTTGATTGTATTCAGGAAACTTTTTAGCTTTGGTTTAGTCCAGTTGTGCTAACTTCCCCTGTAGTGTGTGCTATCCTTCCCTTCACCTAAGAGAATACTTGGCTACTCTCTAGTTAGTGAATAACCCTCACCCTCCCTCCCCACCCTCGTAAACTTCAAAGAATGTTTTCTTCTGTGTTTAAACCTTTTCTTGAATTCTTATAATAGTGGTCTTGTACAATATTTGTCCTTCTGTGACTGACTAAATTCACTCAGAATAATGCCCTCCAGGTTCCTCCATGTTATGTTTCACGGCTTCATTGTTGTTGTTTATCGTTGTGTAGTGAATATACCATAACTTGTTTATCCATTCGTCCGTTGATGGGCGCCTAGGTTGTTTCCATCTTTTTGCTATCATGAATGGTGCTGCAATAAACATGGGTATGCATATATCTATTTGTGTGATGGCTCTTATTTCTCTAGGATATATTTTGAGGCGTGGGATTACTGGATCGTATGATACTTCTATTTCTAGCTTTTTAAGGAAGCGCCAAATTGATTTCCAAAGTGGTTGTACCATTTTACATTCCCACCAACAGTGTATAAGTGTTCCAGTCTCTCTACAACCTCTCCAGCATTTATTATTTTGTGTTTTTTAGATTCATGCTAGTCAAAGGCTTATTTTTTTTTTAACATTTGTAAATGGCCTACTTTGAGCCACTTGTTTTTAGAATCAAAATGATCTCCCTGCATGAATTTATAATGACTGCTCCGAATAAACCTTATGTTTTAACTTCTTTGTGTTTTGATTATTTTTAATAGGGCCTTGGGATGCTAGTTCTTGCTCATTGCACCATTGTTTCCAATAGCAAAAACCTGGAAACAACCGGAATGTCCTTCAGCAGCGGAATGGATAAACTGTGGTAGGGTCAAACCATAGAATACGATGTAGCACTTAAAGAATAAAGGTAGGTCCCTGGTGGAGCCCTGGTGGTTCAGTGGTTAAGTGTTTGGCTGCTAATCAAAATGTCAGCAGTTCGAATCCACAAGCCACTCCTTGGAAACCCTGTGGGGCAGTTCTGCTCTGTCCTGTAGGGTCACTGAGTCAGAATCAACTCAATGGCAATGGGTTTTTTTTTTTTTTTTTGGTTCTGGGTGGTACAAATTGTTTGCGCTCAACTATTAACCCAAAGGTGAGCAATTCAGATCCACCTAGTGGAGCTGCAGGAGAAAGACCTGGTGATCTACTTCTTTAAGATTACCCGTTGCCATCAAGTGCACTCCAATGGCTGTAATCTTATCGAAGTAGATCTCCAGGCCTTTCTTCTGTGGCCCCACTGGGTGTATTTAAGCAGACAACCCTTTGGTTAGCAGCCAAACACAAACTGTACCACCCAGGGAACCTTTCATAAGATTACAGCCATTGAAAACCCTAGGGAGCACAGTTCTACTCTGGAACAGGTGGGGTCACCCTGAGTCAGAATCGACTTGACACCAACAGGTCTGGTTTTTGTAATATGAAAATCCACAAAGCAATATTGCACTTTTTCTATGAGTGTACATATCCATATATAAATGCAGAGAAAGATCTAGAAAAATACCCACCAAAGCAAAAGTGGTGGTTACCTCTGTCAAAGAGAAAAATTAATAACAGATATTTTACTTTGATTTTAGGGTTTTTCTTACCCATGAAACCAAGTATTAACTGTAAAAAAAATTCCCGACCAAAAATTAATCCCACCAGCGAAGCAGCTGGTAGGTTTGAACCGCCAACCTTTCTGTTAGCAGCCAAGCTCTCAGGGGCGGATTATCCAATAGGCAAGGTAAGCACAGCGCTTACCTTGCTTACCAGATCATCTGTAGTGAACAATTTCACATTTTTTCACCATATCAAAGATTCTGCTTCTAGGTATGGCTGGCATCTGTCTCTCTTCCAACCTGTAAGAATGGTGGAGGGGCAGAGTCTGACCTCCTCTAACTTCACACGGGGGAAGGAGAATCAAGATCAACAGCCCAAGGCTGATCCCTGTGAGGTGGAGGTCAGACATGTCTCCTCTCTCTGCCATCTTTACCAATTCTGACAGCAACTGTCTTAGTCATCTAGTGCTGCTGTAACAGAAATACCACAAGTGGGTGGCTTTAACACCAAGAAATTTATTCTCTCACAGTTTAGTAGACTACAAGTCCAAATTCAGGGCATCAGCTCCAAGGGAAGGCTTTCTCTCTCTGTTGGCTCTGAAGGGAGGTCTTTGTTGTCAATCTTCCCCTGGACTAGGAGCTTCTCTGTGCAGGAGCCCCAGGTCCAAAGGACACGCTCTGCTCCTGATGCTGCTTTCTTGGTGGTATGAGGTCCCCATTTATCTCTGCTTGCTTCTCTCTTTTACATCTCAAAAGAGATTGGCTTAAGACACTATCTAATCTTGTAGATCTCATCAATATAACTGCCACTAATCCATCTCATTACATCATAGCGATAGGATTTACAACACATAGGGAAATCACGTCAGATGACAAAATGGTAGACAATCATATAATATTGGGAATCATGACCTAGTTAAGTTGACAGATATTTTGAGGTGACACAATTTAATCCATGACATTAACCACCCCTCCCATGGCACTCTCTACTTCTCTGCTGGGTTCGAGAATTCATTGCAATGGCCACACAGAACTCACAGACAATACTCATGATTATGGGGTTTATTAGGGAAGTAACAGGTTATAATTCAGGTTGAGGAACACTCAGGACACAATTCTTCCATCAGGACAGCCTCTTTCCAGCCATGCTGCAAGCACACCTCTCTCTGGCCCTTGGCCTCTGGCCTGCTCAGGCAAGTGTTACAAAGCTCTTTCAGCTCTGCCAATAAGTGCCCAGAGGCATCCCGCTCTGCCAGTAAGCCTCGACCCAAAGGCACTCAGCTTTCTTGCTTCATGGGCTGGGAAGGCCACTGCACCGTCTCTTGCTGGTGTCTCCTGCTGCTGTTTCTCTGCCACTGCTTCTTTCTGTCTTCAGTGTTACAGCTTGATCTCCTGGTTCCAGGAGCTTCTCAGTGCAGGGATCCTGGGCCCAAAGGGCACGCTCCACTCTTGGCTGTCCTTCCTTGGTAGTGGTGGGATCCTCTCTTTCCTGCCCTTGGGGTGGCTCGTTTCAAGCCCAGAGGGATGGCAAAACCGACCAATCCCTTTGGTGGACCACAGTTACCCTGTTTGCACAGTCCTGTTCAATCACCTGCATGGGAGTTACAAGACCATGGCGAGAAAGTCCACACAAAAGCGATCCACCCGCACTGCACAACCCCACAGCACCTTCCTACAAAATCAAAACCTCTTTTCAAATTTACAATCCCTGTATTACCCAGTGATCAAGGTAAGCACAGACGTAGCTGTGCTTACTTACTAATCTGTAGTGAACAATTTCACATGTTTTTTACCACATCAAAGATCAACCCTGTCATTGTATCACAAAAGCAGCCACGGACAATATGTAAATGAAGGAGTGTCGCTGCGTTCCAATAAAACTTTATGGACACTGAAGTTAGACTTTCATATAATTCTCATGTGTCATCAAATATTATCTAAATTTTTTTTCAATCATTTACAAATGTAAAAGCCATTCTTATGCTCGGGGGCTATGCAGAAACAGGTAGGCAGTCAGATTTGGCCCATAGACAGTAGCTGACCCCTGCTTTAATGTCTGGT